TAAAAAACTGAATAAATTGCTAGACGTAAGTTCATAAATTAATAATATTACAAAATAAAGAATATAAAAAAAAAAAAAAAAAAAAAAAAAAAAAAGCAATCCGACTTGTTACTGTGACAGAAAATAATTTAATCTTGTATTAAACAATGATATATCTGTATATAGTCTCATTTTTATGACAATCCGTACAGCTTTAATGTTCTATCCATGCTGGTGGACGCGATGTATTGCGCGTGTTTTCCAAAGCGTACACCCGTTGCCGCCGCCGTGTGATCATTTAGAACCTTCAATTCTTGCCACTGTTTGCAGAGATACACCCTGAAATGCATGAACATAAATTTATGTAAGTTTGCAATCGTTGAATTATAGATACACGTGAAAATGAAATTACATAGAATTAGTGATAAAATACGAAATATTTTACCTGACGTCCGTCCCTGCCACCGCTAAGTAAGTTCCGCTTTGATCGAAGCAAATGTCCTTCACCTCGTAAGATTCCTCAAGTTGCAAAGTCTTGAAATTCTTCAGTTTGCGTAAATCCCAAAGCTTGACGCACGAATCTTCAGCGGCCGTAGCCAGGTAATATCCATTTTCCGAGAAACTGATCGCCGTGATCGGGCCAGTGTGACCCGGGAAGTTCGCCACGTTAGACTGTTCTTTCAGATCCCATATCTTTACTTGAGAGTCCGCTGTACCAGTACCGAAGATTAAACCGTCAGGATGAAACTGCGCTGTGGTCAATGGCTGTCCTGCTTGTCCTGACACCTAAATAATCCAACAGCACACGTTTACGTTATCAAAATATTCATAGAACAAACTCTGTATAAATTTTTGAAAACTTACTTTAGTCAATAATCTGCCAGTGCGTATGTCTGAGAAAGCCCAGTGCTGATCCAAAGAGGAACTCAGCAGATAATCACCAGTTGGATGTAAAGACAATCCGGTTACAGGAGCATCGTGAGCTTTCAGTAACAAGGTCGTCTGACTTGTGCCGACGTTCCACACGCGAATCGTAGTGTCGGGCGATGCGGTTATCACAAGATCTTCCTCTGGATGATAAATAACTCGTGTAACCTGGGAAAATATTTAAAACGATAAGTACACATACGTTTAAAGAAGCAATGATATGGCTATAAAAAACTTGGAATTACCTTCTTCGTGTGACCTTTAAGAATTGCCACTACTTGTTCGGTATCTTTATTGAAAACTGTAGCATTTTTATCGGCACCACCTGTCAAAATTTTGCTAGTGTCAGCTCCGTGAATATCAAGTGCCAGAATTCCTGGAACGCTGGCGGAATGTAGTCCCTAGAAAATTTATATAATACATTATTTAATATACTTAAAATAATTATTTTACTTTATTCGATCTCTTATTTTTATTGTATTACGATGTATATGATCTCCAAATGTAATCATAAATTTTAAGAGATATAAGAGTTAAACTCACAGGATGCGATGCAAGGGTCTGGAAAGACCGAATACTCTCCTGAGGCATCAGATCATCTGGCACTGAGCGACCACGTCGTTTTCGCTCCTGAGTGAGAACAGTCGCACGTTCCTGTAGCTTCTGAATAACATCTTCTGTAATACCAGCTTGTTCCATTGGTTGAGCAGCAGTACCACCAGCCTCCACTGCCACAGCCTAAAGGAAAATACAAATACTTATCACAGATCGCAACTTTTTATTGTCATTACTAATAAAATTTCAGACACAATGTTTTACAAAGTTTTATATTCTTTTTTAAACATTTGTAGTATCTTTAATTAAAAATTGCTTTTTTACATGCTATGGCAATTGTAATAGCATGATAAAAACAAAACTTTCTATGTATTATTTTTACTATGCAACATACTGGTTGTGGGATTGTAGTCGCTTGAGCAATTCCAGCTTGTGGTTTAAGAGTTGCCAGAGCTTCTCTAGCAGCAGTGACCTCCTTGGTCAATCTAGCAATCACACGGCAAGCTGCGTCATGCTGATACAAGGCATGAGATAATTCCTGTCTTGCAGTTTGAAGTTGCTGCCTCAATGTAAAAGAGTGCAACATAACAGCATCCCATTCATCTTGTAAGTTTTTTAATATTGCAGGAATAGAAGTTGCGCTAGGTGGTTTGGGTTTGACAATTGGAGTTGCTGCAACAAGTAGACTTTTTTAGATATGTACACACATTTTGCATGTAGACACATAGACCAACATAAAATTGTATTAGCTTTTTTTTAAAGTTAACTTTATACGCATCAACAATTTTAACTTGTTAATACTACATGTATTTTAACTAAAAACAAACGAGATATAATATTAAAATTAATACTTTTGATATCAATAAGCTGCTTAACATTGAGTTCCCTGCCACTGATTGGATCCACACCATTTTCAGCCACATATTTCTCGATGAGACGTCTTTCAAATATTGATCCCGAAACAGGAGATATTACTGGATGTTCTGGAACCTCGTTACAGACTGAAAAATGTTTTCATTTTACATCTTTTCATAAAAATTATCTTCATTAAGAAGAAATTAGACTGTGATGTTTCTAAATTGTGTTTTATACACATATTGATACACAATGTAAACATGTTTTACACGTTCAATGAAAGTTTTTATTACTAGTGAGGTTAGATACATTCATTTACCGGCAGTAAATTCGGATATATTTCAACAATACACTTGTAGAAAAATGCATTCGAACACAAAGAAAGGAAAGAAGAAATTGAAGAAAAAGTTATCTCACTACTGCAAATTCTACACAATCTCTTTTCCGTTCTTAATACTTACTCGCACAAGATAGCGCCATTTTTTCTTAAATATTGACTTTTGGAACACATAAGATGCGTTCAGTTCAGTTTAAACGCTTATGAGCGATTTGTGCACTCGTTCTCTTTGGCGTTTGAGCGCTCACTAGCGCCAAGTACGACGTTGGCGCAATCGTTAGAAAAACTACCCCTCTTACCCTTAGACCCCCCGTACCTATTCGCGAAAATTGATAAGAGCATGAAAGAGTAGAGAGGGATATCAGACGGTGGTCTGCTGGTGGTCTGCTCTGAAAGTGAGTTAAATACCTATGCTAAATACAATGGCGTCCAGCACGAAGGTCTGTTATCTTTTCGCGTTTGTGTTATTCGCAATCGCTGTTTCCTTCGTTCCGTTTGTAAATTCTACGAACGGTTATTATGCATCTGCCAGAGTCGAGGTATGCAATGCACTTGTCGCGTTTCTATTAAATTCATGAGATTTGTACATAGCACTTATCGCAATATGTTGCCACGTTCAAAATGTTCAACTATATAGCTACTATTTGCGGAAAAATAAAAGTTTACACATCGAGAGATCAGTGTGTGTATAACGTTTACGCATAAATGAGTTTATCACTTGGTCTTGTTTTCAGAGCTGCGGAGGCTGCTCGCTGAACCGGCTGTCAGATGTCAAACAGTTCATCTTCGAGGATGTACCACAATAGTATCCTTTAAACGGCGCATCTGTGGTTGCAAATTTCAACGGTTTACAGTTTTTAGGATCCTTGCTTGTTGATTTTTTTTTACAGCTGTGTCCTTGCAGCGTGAATATAAGATACTCGTCACTTTGTTAAATATGTAGAGTTTGCGTTGCAATTTTTTAGATGTAACTTTCTTTTACATATTTTTTAATAGAAATTTTTTATATTTTTATACACAGGTGTCGCATATGCCAATATAAATTTTATACATAAAATGTACTGTGTGTACATTTAAGTATGTACATGTATTTTTACAAATTGCTTTTTTTTAAACAATATAAAAGAACATCCTTAATAAATACATATGTATTATGTAGCAACAATGTGGAATTTAAACACATCCAAGGAGCAGTGCCTGAGCTCGTGTTGTTCAACGAACATGAAGAAGTAGGATGACAAAAAACAAAATAAGCAGTTTATTTATGCATAACACAAATAGGCATAATATGCTGTTATACAATTTTACTTGAGTTTTAAAAATATTTCAGGAGGTGGAGAGATTGTTGTTGGCCAAGTTGACTCGGAAGGAATGCAACGAATTGCTAGTTTCCAAAGGTTTTACTAAGAAACTCAACAAGGACGAGATATAAGCTACTCAAGTCAATGTACTTAAGAGACAATAGTCCGCAAATTTATTACTTGAGAAAAACCATTAACGAAGATCCAATTCTCGCCATACTAAGAGAACTTGAAATAATTACGTTAATTTCTTCATGTGATATTAAAGTAACTACTGTTAGGTGAATAATTAGCAACGGCGTAATTCAGAACAAAAAGCTTTAGAGCTTACAAGCTGTAAAAAAGTTTTTAGTGTGCAATTTTTTCATCTGTGAGAATTGAGCTTCGGTAAAAACCATTCAGAATAGCGCATATGTCGATGTATGAGCAAAAAAAAACAATTCCAGATTTGGTAGTCAAACGAGGTAAAATATTGCATACTCTTTAATATACAAATATATTTTACAATTACTAAATAGTGCAATTTAAACCGGAATGAAGCGGCGCAATATATTTCACACCAATTAGAGATTTATATATATACATATATATAATATATATACTATATATATATATGTAATATGTATAATTTTTTAATACATATACTGCACAATTTTATTTTGTATCTAAAAAAAAAACAATAACAATAAATGAATATAACAATAAATAAAAGAGTTATTACTAATTATTCTTCATTTTATTTACCCAAAAAACTAAATACGAAAAACTTTGGTAGCACACAAAAAAATAGCAATATATCGGAATCTTTCGTTTTTCTGGGCGTCTGGATCGATTCGTCTTGTTACGAAGGACAACGCGCCAAAGGCACGTGAAAACGAAAGTTCCGAGAGACTGTTCTCTCGCATGCATTCCTATTAATTGTTCAAGCGTTACATTCTTGAATGAAAGATTTGTTATTTAAAAAACGATTAAAACACATAAGAAATTACATAAATTTCGGAAAAATTTTAAAAAACTTCTTACAGATTTGCGACGGAGTAATAAAACAAAGGATCATTAAACGAAATAGGAGCAACGAATAAGCATAACTTTGCGGTGTTATTGCTATATTTTCGCGAAAATTCATTTTCTTGCGCCACTTAAACGTGTTCTTCAAAAACGCTCGCACATCACCTCAACTTAAATTCTAGATTAAATGTATATACACACGTACGATTGTTCAAATCCATAGTTCCTCTCTCACGCGATTGTCCTTAGTACGTATTAATATTCCCTTTTTCTGTGTATCCCACTTATACCATACTGTTACAAAGATATTAGATGTTAGATGGTCGCTTATGTAAAGAGTTTTCTTTCGTTCTCTCTATATAAATGTATTTATACATATAGTATATACACATACGTAAAAGAGAATATTATCCTTCGAAAAGTGCGAGATGTTAAAAATCGGAGAGACACTGGCATCGCGCGCATCCAGATATCGACAATTTTGTTTTGTATGTGTGTGTGTGTAAAATCGTTTTCACGAGAAATTCACCCGTTTTTCAAGAAGCAAAAATAGGAAGAAACAATTATTTTCATTTGTACACCTTCGGGAACACGCACGCGACTAACGAGACGTGTATTTTCCTTGTAAAGATAATTTTTGCAAGAAACCAGACAAGAGACCAATACAGAGATTGTTGCACAATCATGGAACAACAACAAAAAAACGTTTACAAGTAGGATCGAAAAGTATTACAAGTTGTGGTGGAGAGATGTACATATGTGTCTGGCTTTAGAATAAAAGAACTGTTATGCCATCAACAGCCAGCAGATGAATACAACCGCCAACCACAAAAATACCTTAGACAAGAACTGCTCTTCCTCGAACTGTGGCGTGCCTCTGGGAGCTATAAACACAAAAGTAATTTTGCTGTTTTACAAACTCCCGTCTGTACAAATTACCGGCGAAAGCATTATCATAAACAAATTTCAATTTCTTTAATTAGAGAAATGCACAGTTTTTCTACCAACTTCTTATGAAATCAGCTGTTGTGATCTAAATGTTACCTGCGGTTGGTCTCGTTTCTCCGATACTAAAAGTCGATGTGAAGAAAGTAAATGGAAAAGTGCCTATGCCGAATGACATGTAGGAACCATCGCCGAAACCGAAGCCCGGAAACCCAACGTTAGATTCTGGTTCTGATCTTTGACCAGCTGGTCGTGGTGGTACGTTATTCCTGTAGTGTAAACAAATTTCTTTAATTTATTTTTGACTAAATTATTGTCATTTAATTTTCTTTTACTTCTGAAGATAAAATCTAATCTATAAGATGTGTAATATTCTTTGATATTATTTCACATAAATGATCTATTTTTAAATTTTCAAAAGAAATAATCAAATTCACCTTGGATCCTCGTGTTTTGTAGCACCACGCCCGTACAGTGGAATGACTTTTTCTTTGCTTATGGCAGCTTTACAGACTGGGCAGACTTGCCTAGTGGGTCTGGTCTCTAACCACTGATGTAAGCATGGCCAACTGTATTGTTATTTCTCATATTATTCAGGTATAATTATAAATAATAGTGGTTATTATATTGTAATAGCAAAAGTTTTAATCACATACAAAGTGTTGATTAACATAATTACAAAAGAGTAATAAACTTGTTTTTTTTTTTGCTGTATCATCACACTCACCAAAACAAATGACCACACATACTAACTACAGCATCCTTTGCTGTATCCAGACAAATATTGCATTCAAACATCCTGTCATCTTTCTCTTTCTCCTCAGCAGAACCCGCCGAGCCAGATGGCTTGGATGGGCCTGCCTGTTCTCTTGTTCTGCTCATCCTTTAAATTTTCTGCAAAAAATATTCAAATGTTCTTCACATGTACAACATATTTAACAATTCACATTTTCCCACTTGTTTATATTATACACAACTTTAAAAACCTTTATAAACATTTTTCTTGCTCACACTTTTGTTGTTCATTCATTCGTGCCACTCTCTTACAGATATTCAAAATTTTATTTAATTTTACCTTGATTTATTATTCAATTGGTTGCTGCAGAACTTACGTGCGCTATTTCAATCTTACACATTCTACCGTTCGCAGTAGTATTTCTTACTCCCCTTCTCTATATCTGTATATAAAATGTATATGTATATATCTCCCTTCCGCTCTCGCATACATACATATACTCTCTTTCTCTCTCTCTCACTCTTTTTCTTCTACACGTCACTCCGCTTATCGTCCATACCCATATTTACACATCATCTGTGCTTTCTTTGCAAAAACATAACCTCTCTCCTTAATCTGTAACATTCTCTCTCATGGTGTATCTCTTTTCCTATTCATCTTTTTGACATTTCAGCAATTTTACACGTCAGATGTCATTGTTTGTCGCCGTCCTTGTCTCTTACGACTAATAGACGAAAATCACGTCACACTCACTTTCCGTCGAAGGCGCAGCAGAGCGAGCTTTGGCCCCTTCGCACGTAATCACGACGTAAATCGCCGTCCCTCTGTGATATATGCCTCAGGTTTTTGGGAAAGGAAGCACCGTGAGAATCTGCTCTCCCGTCAAATAATCGACCGATGATCGGCGAACAAAAGCGCGTCAAAACTACGTGCACGCGGAACGCATGATCTCTCGCTGGATATCGCGAGTATGTCATAGGTCGTATGACAATGGAGGGAGAGAGAAAGAGAGACAGAGAGAGAGAGAGAGAGAGATAAAGGGAAAGAGAGAGATACAGAGAGTGAGAGAGACACGTAAGGGAATCCGGCCGGTGGTGGCGTCTTGTGACGTCGACGGGTCGGCGTCGCTCGGCGTTCTTTTGTTCCCGCGGCGGGACGCGAAAGCCCTACAGGGACAAAATTTCCGCTCGATGAGAAAACGCGATCGTAAACGCGATCGCCAACGTTTGATGATCAATCAGCAAGGCGCTTGATCAACGTAGTCGACGACAGAGACTACGACATTCGCAACGCTTCTGCGTCATTAATTACGTCTACGTTCAAGAAGCAAACATCAGATCTGAAATTTAATTGGGCAATTAAAACATCGAACCGCCGTCTGTCTTCTGTAATTTGAGAAACGGGAGATGTCTCGGAAATCTCACGATTGTCACCAAACCGGAGCTGATTTTCCCGATCAGAAACGCCAAAAATCGATGACAAACTTTACGCGTTACATAAAAGACTGCTCGCGAGTAGACACGCAAAATCGAGCCTCTGTCTTTGCTGTTTTTTTAATTTTTTTTTCGTCTCTTCTCTCTTCTTTTTCAAATACTCGCTCTTACGTTCGTATCTATTTCGTTTTGAATTGGAACAAGCGCAATTCACAAACGCGTCGAAAGAGCCAGCACCTGGCGTGCGCGCAAAAGATGAAATTGACCTAATTGCTGATTACTTGTTTGCACGACATTCGCGCTTACAATGTGTATGTACGTGTGTGTGCGACATACACACGCGCACACACACAAAACGATCTGTTTGGATCATTGTTCGCACGCGGACTTCGTCAGCCTGAAACGAGATTCCGCGAGAATGCCGGAATTTGATTGGAGGCGCGGCCTTCCGTAAATTTAAGTCCGTTTTGGTGAGAAATTCAGTTCGCATCGATCTGGCGAGCGTTTCCAAAGAAGAAAACCTTCGGCCAGCATTGAGGACTGTCGTGTGTGAAGGCGGTTGGCTTTGGTCGAAGTCGATCGATACGCGAACGATTTCGCCGAGTCGTCACGAACCGAGCCGAGGGACGTCGACAGCGACCGAGGAGCGACGAAAGCGACCGAAGTGCCGTAGACGCCAAGCCGATGAACAACAGCCGAGTTCTTCTCGACAACGGCCGGACAGCGATTGGGTTACTGGCGACGACAGTACGTTACGGGCGCGGCTTTGTCCTTAAGGCTGGCGTTCTACACGGGAAGATGTCCTCACTCGACTACCTAGATCTGTGTCGACTCTGTCTCGTAAAGGATGAGGTTTCTGTGCCGATTTTCGAAGGCGAGGGCGACGTGCGGCAGATCTTTCTCAAGATCACCGCCTGTTTGCCGGTCAAGGTAAGAAGCCAACTACGCCATCGCCACTATGGCGACCCGCCATTTTGTTAATATTCTCGTTTGGCTTGCGAGACTCTTGGTCTCGCGTCGACGGCGCCCATTAAACGCCGTCGTTTCCACTGACGGCTTTTCGAACCGACTTGTGGACGGGGCGGAAAAAAGCGCGACAAGCGAAAATAGCACGCCGACAGTCTTCATGTGGCGTATGGCCGCGTTTCCAATCTTATTTGCGGTTTGCTTGTTGCGCTTTGTGACGCCACTGCCCCGGGTCGACCGATCTTTGCCGCGCTTTTTTCTGGAATTATCGTCTGCTGAAAAATATCCCTCGTTCCGATAATGATATGCAATAGGTAATTCTCATCTAGACACTACTGAGTTGTACACCCAGCTAATCGAGTCTCAATCGTCTACATTTCGTTATTTGCCGCAGACTACGTTAGTAGTTCCGGTTTATGCAGCATTGTGTCTCGATTTTCCTGAAATATCGCGCGAATATATTTAAAATTTTAATAATAACGCATTATTGTGCGTAAACACTAATTATCTTGCAATTTTGTGACAGGGTTGTAACAATCTCAGTATTTTTATATAAATAATTGATATTAAGTTGCTAGGAATACACTTGTACATATACATGACTAAGGAAGGTGATACTGATCCAATCTTACAACGCTTGGGTTATTAATATTAATGTCTTGCTCTACTCAAATTCTGATGTTTTGCTATGATTGCGTAGGTTGCCAGAGAAGATAAACTACCTAAGAAGATATGTAAGGAATGTGTATGCAAGGTAGAATGTTTTTATTCATTCTGCAACACTACTGCAAACTCGGAGAAGCAATTGCTGCAACTACTAGGAGATGTTCAAATGGAAGATGACAAACAAAACTATATTGGGAATGTTCTCAGTTCGGTAATTAGCATTTTATGTAATATTTATTGTTTGCTGTGTATGATTTGATTGACCATGTAGTCACAATGTCTACATGAAGGTGAAATGCACACACGTTTTACATGAAAATTATAAAAGCAAATTCACATTAAATTCACATAAGCATGTTAATAGTGTAGATATTTTTAGTGAGTGTTCATTTGTCATTTTTATCTTCACTAATGTTCAAAGCTGATGCAACTTCATGCATCAAGAGATTGTTAGAATATCCAGTCTTGCAAACTGTTATCGAAACAAAAAAAGTACCTAGAAAGTTTTCAGAGATATGCAGACTGTCTTATGTCTCAGATCTTCATTTGTCTGTGTTTATCTTAGCAATGGTAGCAATAGTAACTAGTAGTTTCAATTTCTTGCTGTATAGTTTTTGTAAGTTGTTTTCAAATCAAACAGAAATATGTCTGTTGTACATGATGTTTTGTTGATAATGCTTTATTGGCAATAATTTTAGCAAAGATAAATGAGAACAAAAAATTGTTTTTGATCGAAACTTTATGCGTACAGTTCTTATGAACACTCGAGTGGGAACAAGGTCTAATTGTGGATTATGTTTAACTTTAGAACGAAATGAGAGCAGACGAGAACAGCAAAAACAACAGATTAGAAGACACTGTAATGCATCAAGTGGGCGAACATCAAAGCAGTATGAACATAATGGACAACATAATGGACATGCCGATGATGATATCGGGCACTACTCAACAAATAACCTCAGTTCCTATGGATAACACTGGAGAGTCAGTACAAAATGTTTCAGTAGCCGGACCAAGCACACAAATGGCACACGAGCAGGTACATATTAATCAGAATCAGTCAGATACCCCTATGCAACAAGAGGAAGAAGAAGAGAGTAGCGAAGAAGACGAAAATTTTGAAGAGGAATGCGATGCGGATGAAGGTATGTGTATTGATATATTGTATCTTCCATATTGTTTGTTATATTTTTATAGAAAATAGCGTAAAAGTTAGAAGAGAGAAAAAAACAAAATATGTGCACTTCTCTGTTAAAGGCCTACCTGTAAAAGAAGAAAGTGAAGAGGATCCTAACAACAGGAGAGCAGTCGAGCCTACGACGTTTGTAAATGTCTCTCTGGCGTGTGAAGAAGCAGGTCCTTCCGGGCTTCAGCAACAAAAGATTACGGAACTTCCCGATAACATGGTGATACCGCAAACAGAAGACGTAGATCCGAAAACTGGGTGAGTTTTCTGTTTTTTTTACTTTATTATCTGAGGGTCAAAGATGTTACTTGTTGTGGCAAATATACACAAAGACACACAATGTTCTGTTGATTTTTATTCACTTTTGTCTCATCTTTCTTTTCAACTTTATCGGTACAACGAGTTATTTAATATTTTCGTTACGAACTAGGAATACGATCGATGTTCAAATAATCAAATTTTCTCAGATTCAATTTTCTTTTCGTATATTACAATAATAAAATTTATAGAAGGAAAAAATTGTGAAAATAAAACCGGTGGATTTACTGTTGCGTAACTATTTTTAAAGAAATCAATATCTCTCGTGGCTAAGAATATCTGTTGCTACTTGAAACTGCATGTGTTAGACACAATTTGTTTGCCGTCATCATGTCTTATCAGTTTTAAAGTGATAAATGGAACAAGAAAAAAAAGCATAACGCACGAAACCTAAAGTAAAATACATCTTAACATTGATTATTATTATTATTATTTTATTTTTTTATAAGAAAAGCAAAATACAATTTACACAAGGTAAGTTTTGGACACACCCCACAACCATCTTTGGCCCTAGGTGTTTAGCAATTTTTACACTTTTCTTATTCGTAGAGCATTTACTGATAATTTATTATAATTTTGTAAATTGTTATTTGGAAAAATACTTACATATTATATGGTTGTTATATTTTAAAACACAGAAATTGCTAAACACCATCATTACTATTACATGTGATAGCATGTATACAGAGTGCATTTCGAATTGCAAGGGAATATACAAGGGATCTGAATTTAATTTTATACAATTCTAAAATGGACATGTTGTTGCTTGAGTTACACATATCTTATACATATACATACGCGCGAAATGGACTCTATATGTCATATATATCTACATATATATACATATATATATATATGTAATGAAAACAGTCGGACAAAGAGATTTCTCTGGATTGGTTTCTACACATGTTACGTGCATTTTTTTTTAATATAAAATAACGTGTGCGAATGAGAACGCACTCTGTCTCTCTTACATCGTGACACGCGCGCGACGAGAACCAGCCTGATCTCTCTGTCCGCTCGGAAACCAAAATGTTTACATGTTGTCGATATTAATATTTCCACGCTTACGTGATGGCACTAAATGCCGCACATGACCAAATATATTCGGCCAATTTCAAAAAGTCACAGACGATAGATACTTTGAATTTGAAATTGCAATGAAAAAAAAAAAAGACCCATTTCTCGTTTTACCATCGTGCTTTCCGATGCCTGCGCTTTACGATGTTGCCAGGATTTTGTATATTAACATATAATTTATAGATTAATCTTAAGAATTATAAATATCACATTTGATTGACGTATAAAAAAAACATTACCACAAAATCGTTACGAAATGTTACGCGATACTGTAATCGAATGATGATAAAACAACGCGTGCAAGTGTATTGTAATCAAGAGAGTGATCGGTTGAAACTCAACCTCATTGGGCTTTGGAGAAGACCGGAAGGATTATATTTCCTTCGCAATTAGAAGATTCTACGAAATGACAAAGAATTTAAAAGAAACTGCTGCGTCAAGAGGAGATTTCACAGAAACACAAGGCGAGTATCACTATTTTATTTCTTTCTGTAACAATAGTAGTTTTTTTTTCTTTTTTTTCTTTTTTTTTATTATATACATAGAAAACCAATTATCATGTGCACATTGTATTGTTGGTACATGAATTTGCATTGTCTTTACGACTTTTTTATTAAACGCGTATTTTTTTCCTTCGTATTCAAACGTGAAATTGAAATATTTTGACGAGTTTTTAGACATTTGTGCGCACATTGCTCGAGACATTCGTGTCATGTCGTTTTGCGCGCGCTTTTTGGCGCGAATAGATTATCGCAAAAAAACGGCATTTTTTTATATTGAAAATAACCAGGCTTGCAATGAATTGCGCCGATGAAAGAAATTTTCTGAGATATTTGAGCTATTTTGCGTTGCGCCTAAATTGGCTGCAATATTTGAAACAACACATCGGATTGTGTGTGCGTGTTCCGTTGTCGTTCACGGAACAAAATGAATTTTTAAATACAAGCGCGAAAAAGAGCGAGGAAAAATCGTATTATTCAGTTCCGACTTTTAAAAGTTCGATATTGCGTTTTTGTATTCTTTTACGCATCGAACTTTCATAAGTCACTTTCAAGTATTGAATAATAAATTTCGATTTTACCTTGAATTGTTCGCAACTTTTGATTGACATTTTTATTTTCTCTTTTTCCGTACATTATGTACGTATATCTCTTTGTGACGTGCCGAATGTTGCCGAGAGGTGTGTTCGCGTGTGCGTGGGAAGTCGCACCGGTACCTTTGCGTCGCAACTCTATAAGAAGAAGATGCCACAAACGTCGTGAAACAGATTGTTTAAAAAGGTGAGAACTTTTTTTCCTACCTGATTCAGTCTGCGTTTTTTTTTTAATTTTTCTACATTAAAGTAAGAAAGTATAATAATTTTGTAATAACATTTAATTACGAGAGTGAATTTTTTGAGCAAAATTTTGCTTCTTTTTCATCTGGTTTGCCAAGTTTTCTGGCTTGATCTTTACTTTTTTCCCTTTCGCTAATATCGTATATTGAGATGATCAAAACGTGTGTGTGTCTGTGTATTTCGCGCACACATGTTACATGTAATATGTACGTATTATACACATACATACACATACATACGCCAGTGTTCTTTTACACACGTCATATGTTTCTTTAAATTACTCGTCTCGAACGTGGTGCTAGTTATGCTAACGAGTATCAGCAACGGAAGTAACAATAGGTCTGCAAAAGTGAAATAATATTCAACTATAGTATTTACAAAAGCTTTTTAAATACTATACATACGTGTTTTTATATTAAAAACTTGAATTATTATATAAAAAAAAACTTGAATTGTGCGAATTCGGAAAGCTTTGAGGAGTGATGAAACCTCTAGAGATCCGCTTTGACTTTGACGATAATCACGACGACTTTCTCGATTCCGCACGTTCACGGTCTTGTGACACACATTGTTTATTATTGCATCGGAAAGAGATGCCGAGCAATGGCCCAAGCACCTTGCACCGACCACCTTGCAGCACTCACACAAGCATAAGATCTATCTTTCTCTGTTTTTCTTATATATTTCTCTCTCTTCTTTCTCTTTTTCTTTCTCTATCCTCTCTTTTCACTGCCTGTATGCAACGAGATATTGTAATGAACACAAAGAGCAGAATCAAAAAAAGAAAAAAAAAGAAAGCTGTGTGTGGCCACGGGTCGTTCTCCGTTGCAATGTCCTTGGGTTTTGTCGATTTCAGGGAAGCAGGCGAGACCTTCGGCGGATTGTCGGGGATGCTTCGTCAGATACTCTCGCCCTCGCCCGAGACCGGTGAGATCGGCATGTCTGTCAGTTGTAACCTTCTGCAAAGCAACTCCATATTTACGAATCAATCGTCAATGTTAACGTCGACGTTAGTCTCTCCGCACTTTCAGTCCGTGTATCCGGATCAGGCCCTGCTCGACCAGGTGCAGATCCTCACCGAGTCCTATCCGTGCAACACGTGCGGACTCGAGTTTCGAACCGCTCTTAAGCTTAACTATCACATACGAACGAGTCACACCATGCGCTCCGAGTACGAGCACAACATCGAGAATCAGCCGAGATACTCGTGCGCCGTCTGCTCGCGCACCTTCGTCGCTCTAAGCCACCTGAAGATGCACGAGGTCACGCATTCCGCGCCCATGGCCACGTGCGCGTCGACCTCCGCGAATCTCGGGTCGCCCGGTGGCAATAACATGGAGAAGACGTTCGCGTGCGACATCTGTCAGGCGAGTTTCCGTTACCGCACGCTACTCGAACGTCACCGGAGGATGCACCAAGAGATCGGCCAGGACAAGCCGTACTCCTGTCCGAGGTGCCTGATGCGTTTCGAGACGCGCAACCTGTACAATCATCATGCGAAAACGCACAGAACGATGCCGACGAGCAACGACAACAGAATCGCCGGGAACGCGGTGTCGCCCATCGAGCCCATGCCCGGCAACCTCGGCAATCCCATGTTACCCGCCAAGTCCATGACCTATCCCTGCGACTCGTGCTCCAAGCAGTTCACCACCGCCGAGTCGCTAACCACGCATAAGGCGGTACACAGGTCGAGGCCGTTGGTTTGCGACGTGTGCGGCAAGGGCTTCACGCATCGCAAGTATTACGTGGTGCATCAGCGCATTCACACTGGCGAAAGGCCATATCTCTGCGCCATGTGCGGCAAATCGTTTACGCAGGCATCAACGTTAACCGTACACCGCCGATATCACACAGGGGAGCGTCCCTATACCTGCACGCTCTGCGGAAAAGGTTTTGTCACGCGAACAATCATGCTTAATCACATGAAGAAGCACTGAGGTGACACCCCGGTGACGAAAACTTTTATGATATTTGCGACGCGATTTTCTAACACAAAAAGAAAATACTCCGCGGCGAGGATGATATCATCGAAGTATTGTTTAAAGTTCAATTTTTATTATTACTTTTTTGAGAGAAATACTTTCTCTCTCTCTCTCTTTCTTTGTTGAGAACGGTTATATATTTATTATTAATTTTAATTAAGTTGAACTCTCCCCGTCTTATACACACAAATGTGAGATGTAGTTAAAATTCTTTTGCGAGATAGAAGTAAGAGTAGAGGTAATATATAATTGATATCAATGGTTACTTATTAGTGAGAAAAAATGGGCAAAGTTTTCAATTGCCGATTAATTTAATGTTCTATACGATTTGAAAACGTATATACTTCACTGGATTCAATACTCAGTAAAACGTTAACAACTCGGTTAAACGTTCTAAGCAGTTCTATTTGGAATTTTTTTTAGATTTATCTTTCTTATTCTGCAAGTTATTGATGTTCAAGTGCCTAAAATATTACATATAATATAATATACTAAATGTATGGTGAATATGCTCAGTAAGATCCAAAATGTCTGTTCACTTGATTGAAACGTAAAAGGTCTTTTAAAAAAAAATTTATATATACATATAAATATATAAATTATATATATATATATATAAAGTCTTGTTATTTTTTAGTACGGTCTTTCTTTTTTAGTTTCATATATTTATGAAAAATATATTGAAGTAAACAAAAAAGGAAGACACAAAATAAAAGGCTTTGCTCTTAAAGAGACTTCAAATGACGGACCGAGAATTTTTTAGATTTTATTGTATATATAAAAAAAAGACAACGGATTAAGACAAAGACAAAGTGTGTAACTTGGATCTTTCTACATATTTAACAAAACTATATGGTTTTTCAGATAAAAAGTATATTTAATGACAGGTCGGATTTTTAGAACGAGAACCTGTTATAAATGTTGTAATCACTGTGATATCATGTGTACGTTACACACAAAATGTTTATGATAATACTATGACATTACTAATTATTAGATGTTGGTGCAGATAATACGCATTCGTCAAATGAATATAACTTGGGTTTTAATCAACTTGGATTTTAATCAAAGAAACTAGTACCTGCGCACCAGATACAAGACAAAAAGAGGTAATCTACAAGGTATTTTTCCAGGAATATTTTATCGTAAACTTTTCAATTGCATTAGATGTAAACTACACCAAAGATGTGCTCATCTGTTAGAAATACAGTAATAAATTTCAAACGTAATTTATAACAAAATAGCAAAAGACAGGGTCATAGAACACATATATACAGTATTAATTAATTACTCAAATGTGAAAGTGTAAATATGATCATCTGTTCAGAGATGATTGTAAGAGTGTTAACGCGTGTGATTCGATCAATTACGCAAGACGAGATTAAATGTAGCCTTGTTTCACGAAAAGAAAATTTTAATTTCTTTATTTATATTTAGGAATTTGATACGTAATTTGTTAAAATATTGAAAAAAGTCTTTGCAGAGTAAATGTGCAATGTGTACGTCGGTAACGTAGGAATCATACGTGTCGATAACATAGTGTACCGTCTTACCTTGGACGATAATTACGCCATTCCTCACATAGTTTTCTACAGCAATTAGTGATTTATTTACTAAAAAAAAATGCAAAAAATTTTTTGAATAACATAAAGCAGACACGAGCATTGAGAAAATATTTGACCATTTATTTTGTTTTTGTTTTAGAAAGTTTATGACAATTTATAACATCTAGTAGATTACACAATGCTGATGCTGTGTGTGTATCTCGTATGTATATACTGAAAACTAAATATAAACAGTAAACGACACAAAATTTATGTGCACACACACTCACACACACATACACAATCTAGAAAAGACAACACTGACACATCAAGTTGGTATCGTCCGCATAATTTTCAATCAAACACTGTAACCAGAAGGTAATTAGAGTAATTTAATAATAAGTAGCTGTATTTTGTAACCGCATAATTACGTATAAACGCTATGTTTAGTATGACAAAAAAACTAGTGCCTGTTGACTAATCGCTCGCGACCTTTTAGCACCGTTTAAAGCTTGTACGAGACATCAGGAGGAAGAGAAGTGTGGCTAAGAGTAATAAAGGAAATATTTGGAAATCACTTGAAAGCGCCTTATTGATTCTCTACCCAAGTAAAGCTTCGTCAAAACAGAAACTTTCTCTTTGGACAGGAAATATAAAATCAGACGAGATCCGTCCGTATAAGATACCTCGATTATTTCGTTAAAAAAAAAAAAAAAAAACTCGTTAACGCTATGAAAGAGCGGGCGAGAAACAAGCAGTTGATTGACTTCCGTTTGTGTCTGTCTTCTTTACAGATGTTTTGTATCAAAGGTCGTGCTGCTCCCTAGTCGAAAGCGGACCGCAACCGGTGAATGCAAGCACGTCTTTGTCCAGGAAGTTGTTCGCGCGGAAGTAGTGACGCCGGGTTCGAAGATGGATAGCAACAAGCCGCGGGATGTCACCCGTCTGCGTCTCATGCATTGCAAACTCTGCGGCGAGAGTTACGTGTACAGTCAGGGTCTCTCAGAGACGGAAGAATCGATTTCGGAGAACGAACGGCTGATGTGCGAAATATGCGGTATGACTTTCCTGACCATGTTGAAGCTGATGAAACATCAAGAGGACCACGCGTCCGAGCCGCGTTTCACCTGCGACACGTGCGACTTCGCGACTCCGAACAGGAAGGATCTAATTTCTCACGAGAATTTTCATTCGTTAGAAGCGCTCGCCGCGTACAAGTACGAGTGCGAAGTGTGCGGCGAAAAGTTTCAAAGCAAAGGTAACTGTCAGGTGCATTTGCTGTCGCACGCGCCGGACGAGCCGTACAAGTGCGACGATTGCGGTGCTTCGTTTCGTCACCGTCAGGGTCTGCGATTGCACGCGAAGCTCCATCAACCGGACTACGTGCCGCCACAGCGTAAGCATCACTGCGAGGTGTGCCGCAAGCGTTTCTCCCGAAAACAGGTGCTGCTGGTGCACATGAAGACTCATCGCACTTCCGCGGAACCGCAGAACGAATATGTGTGCAAGATATGCGGCAAAGTTGTGTCAAGCAAGACATATCTGGCAGTGCATCAGCGGAAGCACACCGGCGAGAAGCCGCACGTTTGTGACGTCTGCGGCAAGAGCTTCATCTCGCAGAATTATCTGAGCGTGCACCGTCGCACTCACACTGGCGAAAAACCGCATCAGTGCGTTTACTGCAAAAAGAGATTCACCCAACGAACTACGTTAGTGGTGCATCTGCGGGGTCACACCGGTGACCGACCCTATCCTTGCACGCATTGTGATAAATCGTTTGCTTCTAAGACCATGCTTAACTCGCATCTCAAGATTCACGCGAAGCAAAACGCGCAGCCGACGGAGACGATGGAGACGTCGCAGTAACGACAACGAGGTTCGCGACAGCAATAATCATTGTTTCTCCGATCAATGTAAAATGCTACCTAACTGAAGCGTCGCCGTTATTAGGTTCTTTTCCGCAGATTAAGATCTTGCTCACGTTTAGTTTTCACAAATCTTCTTTTCTACTATTTTAGTTTAGACGTAACAGTATCAAGAAACTTGTAGGATAAACAATTGTGTGTACGAATGCAAACCGATAAGTGGAATACTATAAGATAATTTTTTTTTTTCTGGTACAAGTATAATCAGAATCGGCGCAATTTTTAATATAATGAGAGCGTTGTTTTATATAATAATTATTTTCACGCTGTCAAGGTTGGAACTAGACGAGGTCGCTTGTAATACATCGTTCAAGCGGACCGTCTTTAAACGAGCGAACATCTCTTATGACACTTTCGCCTACGTTTTATCATGCGAACAAGACAGTTCAGCTATATTTGATAAAAATAGAGCGGGGTTCATAAGGCTGTCGTAAATAGACTTGCTCTGTATTCGGAAAAACGAAACACTTATGTATATTTATGGGCGTGTATATTTTAAGGAATTAAGACCGACTGTCACGCAAACTTTGTCAAAGATTTAACTTAGGAAACGAATCATTGAAACATTTTTCTTTGTACTGAAGTAATATATACATGTGAATTCGTACAAGTGCAAAAAGTAGAGACAGGATACACTTGTTTTTTTTTTTTTTTTTTCCTCAAAAGCTTGTATGACAACAGTTTGTATTTTTTAGCTATGCAGGAAGACATAACGATATTGTTTACTATTTATATTCTGACAGAAAGACATTTCTTTATCGCTTGTACAATGTACCACATTTATAAAAACAATTAGGGAATTGTCAACGCGCTAAACTCTCCCCCCTAGTGCCTTAGTTGCATTATTGTTTCTACAGTAAGACACACACGAACATTTTTTATACATGATTATACGGAAATATCGTACAAATAAAGATTTATGTATAAAACAGGCAATCTGTAAGTAGTGCGGAGCAACATCTGAGAACACAAATCTTTACAACAAGACGATCAAAATCGCGAAAATTCACATATCTCTACATTTGCGCGTAATTTCTTCTTGTTACACACGCAAGTAGTAGTTGAACGAAATATTTGGAACCGATCTGTCATTGATAGACGCAGCTCTGAAATCTTGTATACAGTAAGTAAAAAGATTTTTTTTATAGTCACAGATTGAACACTTACGTCTTAGTATTTTTTTTTTTTTTTTTTTTTTTTTACATTTGGAAGTCTTTGGTACAAATGTAAAATAAAGGCGTATTCTTTTGGATCGATATTTAATTTCATTGTATTGTTAACCGAACATGATTTTGATCCGTGTACGTGTGTGTTTCACGACCGTTGCGTCTCTTTTTCTCTTCCGTTTGGGTGAAAAACGACAAAAAGTATCGAAAAGTACGTCCGCTCTTTCTTTTCGGTTATTTTTTTTTTTTTTTTTTTTTTTATAATTACAATCTATATTTCTCTTATTTATTTTCAGAACTAAAGGAACAGATTCCAGAGCTCATCTGAAAAATACGATGGAAAGGAAAATTGCAAATCCGCGCTTTGTGCTTCTCCGTAAGATCAATGACCAAACTATTCTGCTCCAGAGCGTACCCTCGTACAGCTGTGATTCCTGCGACGAGAATTTCAACACGGAAGCCGATTTGATAGTGCACAAGACGGAACAGTCGATACTTCGAACTCGCGAAGCGTTGCGTCAAGCGGAACCGAGGTACAAGTGCGACGCGTGCGAAAAGACATTTTCGACGAAATTTTTGTTGATGAGACATTGCGCCACGCCGTGCAAATATCCTGTTTTGAAGGACGCGGCTACGAAGCAGGAGGAACGTCAAGATGCAATCGCGCAAATTGTGCGAAATTGTGCGGTGAATAAAAAATTGATAGAGAATAAAACAACGAAAGGAAAGAAGAAGTCGAAGGAGAATAAAAAATCCGAAGAAAAAAAGAATTCTGAAGAAAATAAATCTGATGAGAACAAAGAATCGTCGAAGGGTTCTATTGAGTGTGACAAATGTGACAAATGCTTCAAGAAGAGAAGATATCTGAAGGTTCACAAAACGTTGCACGAATCCCCGTACATTTGTAACATTTGCGGCTCGAAGTTGACGTCGGAGTATTTTCTCAAGATTCACATACGGCGACACAACAAAGAATTCACGGAGTTCTGCGAGATCTGCAACAAAGGCTTCTACTTGAGAGCGACCTTGAAGAATCACATGAGCGTGCACACCGCCGAAAAACCACACGTCTGCGAGATCTGCAACAAGGCGTTCGGCAATCGGGTTTATCTCCGAAGCCACATGCAGATTCACTGCAAACCCGAGATGAGAAAGACGTTCAAGTGCGAGATCTGCGACTTCCAAACGTTTTACAGCTACTGCTACAGACAGCACGTGTGGACACACACGGGCGAGAGTCAAGTTGCGTGCGAGGTGTGCGGCAAACTGATCAGACGGCAGTACATGAAGATACACATGAGGATACACACCGGCGAGAAGCCGGATATTTGCGAATTCTGCGGCAAAGCGTTCAGTTCGAGAAAGTATCTGATCAAGCATCGACGGATTCACACCGGTGAGAAACCGTACCAGTGTAAGATCTGCAAAAAGAGTTTCACTCAACGCGGCACGCTCACTCTGCACCTCAGGAGACACGAGGATCGCAAGTAGACAAGTTTGTTTTTGTTTTATTTCAACACACACAGAGACATTTTTCTCATTTCAAGTTTTTCACAAGCGTTTACACAATTAACGTGCGGTTGGGAAAATGTTACCGATATTTTGATGCTTTCGCGATGTAAGAACTTTTCTGCTCGTTTTTCGTAAATACTTCACTTTTTTTTTGTAAACTCAGTTCACTTTATCAATCGATTCGAGAGCAGCCTGATGTTGAGGTGCTCTTTGACAGGTGTTCCTTTAAATAGCGTAAGGTTGAAGAGGAAGTGTGTGACATGATACATGGAATCTGGTGTCGAAATGACTGCTATGAGCGTATGTATGTGTATGATCTTTGTTAAGATTGTTTGCAAGTTTTTAGATCTCCAGAAGACAAAAATGTCGCTTATGTTTATTACCAAAAAAAAAAAAAAAAGACAACGTTGCTCGTTCCTCGGTACAATATTGTGTATTATAATGTTTATGACATATACAAATAAATGACATATACAACGTGTACAAATAAATATATAATTTATATATACGATAAATTATGTGTGTTGTTTATTTACATTTCCACATCCGCTTGTCCGATAAAGTTGGTCCAGATATAATGCGCATGAAGATTGCGATTAAAAAAATTTATATGTAAAGATAAAAAATGAAAAATATTCTCACGACGAAGTTTCATCTAATTAGCAACACGTGTAGTCGCTTTTATTAAAACAAAAAAAAATAACAAAGATTAAGAAGTTGTGCAATTCCGAAAACTAAGAGAACTTCCTACGATAAAGACACGAAGATAAAATCAAATCAAATAAAACGGAAAAGTGACAGTCACGCTCGTTCGACCTGTCACGCAGTTGGCGCAATACATAAGTAAATGCACGTGAAAGAGGTACTTCTCTTTAAGATTCTTCTCAAGTCTGTAAATGAAAATTGCATATTTCTCCAATACGTACGTTTTCGTTGCTGCTCTCACGCGTGTTGACGTATGTTATTTATTACAGGTACGACGAGATCAACGTACAAAACGTAAAGATGGAATCGATCGGCGAGTTGCAAGATGTAAAATTAGTGAGCTATGAGATATCTAACGTGGAAGAGTATCAGATCGATCAGCAATCGGAAGAAGTTACGGAAGCGATCGAATTTAAATCCGAGACTTCGAACCTGAAAACGAAATCTTCCTCGAAAACAAACGAGACAAACGTTAAGAAAAAGTTTCGTGAACTGAATTCGAATCGAAAATGCGCGAAGATTTACGAGTGCGCGCTATGCGGGAAACAGGAGGACAAGAAGCAGCTGCTGCTGAGGCACATAAAGTGTCACGAGAAAATCGCTCGTTGCGAAGAGTGCGATAAGAACTTCGTCAACGAGGAGAAATACCGAAAGCATATGATCAAAATACATCAGAAGGAGAAACCGTTTCAATGCGTCTTGTGCGGCAAGTGTTTCAAGACCGAGGAGTTTCTGAAGACTCACCTGAAGCAGCACAACAAACGCTTCGTCTGCGATATATGCGGTATCTCAAAGGTCTCCGGATACGATTTGCGTCTCCACAAGAAGAAGCACAATCAGGAGTACGTGACCAAGTGTAAAGTGTGCAACAAGGGATTTTACACGAAGCAAACGCTCGAGCGACACTTGCTCACGCACACCGGCGAGAAACCGTTTGTGTGCAAGGTGTGCAAGACTCCGTACGCGAGCGCGGCTTATCTCAACATGCACGTGAAGTCTCACGGCGAGCGGGAGAAGCACAAGTGCAATATCTGCAATTTCGAGAGCTACTGGAAGGCCGCGTTGAAGATGCATCTGAAGATACACACGGGCGAGAATCAGATCACGTGCGAGGTGTGCGGCAAGTCCGTGAGCAGCAAGAATTACCTGCAGATTCACATGCGCATACACTCGGGCTTGAAACCGCACGTTTGCGAGATGTGCGGCAAGGCGTTCAGCGTGCAGAAGTATTTGATTGTGCACCGACGAACTCACACCGGCGAGAGACCGTACGAGTGTAAGGTGTGTCAGAGGAGGTTCACGCAGCAAGGCTCACTGAACACGCATATGAAATCTCATAATGTAAATAAGTGAATGGAAGAGAGAGAAAGAGAAATGAGGAGAAATACCTTGTGCAAGTCTTATTTACACGTGTTTGTTTGAACTTTATGTCTTGTCAGGTGTTAGAAGACGGAAACTTCAAGTTTTCAATTTGACTTATACGATAAATGCATTTCAACACTTTTTTAGATAAACTTTTTGTGAATTCAAATTATGTGAAATTGTTTACAAACCGAGGATTTCATCGTGGCGTTAGAGCGGATGTATATTATTAATCTTTATTTCTTTTGGTTGTGAACAAATTGATCACATTTCATATCGCATACTAAATGGGGAACATCCATAAATTTTTGAACATATATTTATCAGATATGTGAAATATCTGCAGGAGAATATTAATTTTTTATTGAAGATATGAGACTGATGAAAAAAGAGTGAAATATGAAGAATATAGTTTATAAGAAAACATAAGTATAAATAATTTATCAATATGACGAGATTGTTGATATTTCTATTATATAAAGTGTACTTTTAAATATTCTACTATGTAAAATGTCGACTTGAATATAATGTGAACGTGTAGTTAAGGTAAAATAATTTGACACACATTTGAAATCTAGAAGTATCGTGAGCTGGCAATTCAAATAATAGTACCAACTATCACTGCCTGCTACCAAGTAATAAAAAAATATATACTTTTACTTAATCTAAAAACGACAACTGTCAAAATTCTTGACAATTTAATTTATTGTTAGATATGTGTTCTCTATACATATATATTATATCATCTAGATTTATTAAAATTCTCTAGAATCTCTTATTAAATATAATATAAGCTTTTTACATAAATAATATATAAACAAAAAGATATAGAAGAGAAGTAATAGACACATCACCGTGTTGATCAGAAATCTTTATTTATTTACATGCCGCAAGGTTGTATTTATTTATTGTGGTTTGCAGTATTGCTATATTTTTTATGAATTCTGTAGAAAAATTTATATGTAAAAGAGGAAATTGTGTGTGCAAAGTGACAAATAACAATAACACAGACTTTGCACTTAGAATGTTTTTTGAATATATTTTCAGGAACGTCGTAAAACTGTACGTGCAATTTACAAAAACATTTAATTTATATGCCACACGAACATTGCGTAATTATAGTAAACTGATATTTAAAAAAGAAATTTGATTGTAATTATATAATAACTACGAACAATATACATATATATTTTATATATTACAAATATTTTTAACATAGAAAGGAGAATTGTACATATAAAAAAGTGCGTGCAAATAAACTTATATATAAATGAAACTTTGAGTAATTTTTTTACTAAAGAATATAAATTTAAATTAGTATTACTATGTACGTATAGTGTGTGTGTCATTATTTAATTTTCTTTTCAGAAATGCAATAGCGGCAGAAACGTATGTAAAAAGTGAATTGTCTGTACATGAATATACGGATCCTGCTGAATCAGTTTTCGTTAAAGGGGAAGAAAATGTAAAGCAGGAAAAGTATAATGTGCAAGAAAAGAAAGTCGCAAGTTCGAAACACGGATCTCCTGACAGCGTTGATGACTCGTCGGTGACGCAAAACGAGTTCGAAAACGAAGAAATTGCGTGTCAGAGTAATTTGAACGTCAAAAAACACCCTGTCGATGATCAAACGATTTACGAGTGTGACATATGCGCGAAGCTCTTTCGATCGAAGAACTTGTTCGAGGGCCATTTAGTGGCGCACAGCGACGCACGTCCGTATCAATGCGACGTCTGCAACAAGTCTTTCAAGAGGTCCAGCACCTTGGCGGTGCACAGACGCATTCACACTCACGAGAGGAATTTCGTGTGCGACGTGTGCGGTCGCGCGTTCGTGCAGGCTTCCCAGTTAGCTACTCATCACAAGCGTCACTTTGAGAAGTACACGAAACATTGCGAGATCTGCAACAAGGGTTTCTTCACGAACGCCGAGCTCCGCGGACACATGAACGTGAGGCACGGCGCCAAGGAGCACGTGTGCACCGCCTGCGACAAATCGTTTCCCAACAATCACACCCTCGTGCGCCACATGAAAATTCACGATCCGAACTTCAAACCGGTGAAGCATCAGTGCGAGTTCTGCGGCAAGACGTTCGCCTACAAGAACTCGCTGGTGGTGCACGTGGAGTCCCACACCGGTGACAACAAGTACGACTGCCATCTATGCGGCAAGTCCGTCACGACCAAGGGATCTCTCCAGGACCACCTGCGTCTGCACGGCGAGAAGTCGCTGGTCTGTGACGTCTGCGGCAAGGCGTTTCACAAGAGATCGACGCTGATTGTGCATAAAAGAACTCACACCGGCGAGAAGCCCTACTCGTGCGACACGTGCGGCAAGTCTTTCACCCAGCACTCGACGCTCGTCATACACAAGCGATATCACACGGGCCAGAGACCGTATCAGTGCAATTATTGTACAAAATCGTTCGTGTCCAGAGGGTTGCTGAACGCTCACAATAAAATACACATGGTCAACGTGATGGTCATGCAGCCCGCGTAGTTGTCATTCCGATGTTCACTTCTGTTTTATTGGACAATCATTACGTTGTATGTAATGCCGGTTGCGCGTTCAAAAACATTATCATGTGATACTATTTAGATCGTAACAAGTGTCTTATTAGATAAGTCAACGATCGAACATTGTGATTCTTCTGTTTTCGGCATCTGAACCGGTGCGACTGATAACTTTTTGTGACGTATTTTCACGAAGACAATCGCAATTAACAGATTTTTTTTATTCTTTATGTATGAGAAGAGAAGTTTTGTATATGACTTGTTGCTTATTTTATACGCGGAATATTGCAATTTTAGAAATGTAATTGAGCCTTTTGTGTCTCAGTTGTGAGACGTATTGATATTCTTATGTGCTATATACATACATGTACCGTTGTGATAAATAAATACCGCAATTGAAAATATTATACACAAACTACCCATGAAGGAGGATCACATCATGTTGCTCTCATTTGTAATATTCAAGCCTTTCTGTCTTCCACGCAACAAATACATGCGTTTTTCACGTACATAAATGTCCTTTTCTTTTTTTTTTTTATCAAAATCAACAGCGGCGGCGCAATGATTATTCTATCGTCAAATTTTATGCTTTACATCGCATAAACTTAGCTAAAGCTGCTAAAACAAAAGTTGCGGCTTGGCAATCTTGCTCGTAGAATAATTTCGCTAAGCAACACGAGACAGTAACAGAAAGTGGACAATAAACAGAAAGACGATCGTGACGCAACAGAGACACCCGATACTGATATTCCCCTGAATTTTTCCATTTCAGGTATAACCAGCTACCTGAGTTTTCCGAAGGCTATTATCCGATGATAACGTGCCCTAAACTCGACCCGGCGAAAAAGAACGACGACACCATCAAGTCCGACTCGAAATCACCCGAAGAA